TTGAATACAGACACTAGAAATGTGTCAATTAAAACAGCTTTTAATATGCCTAAATGTTACTTTAGTGCCAAAGATCTTTAGGAGAAAAAAAAATAAATGGCATGTTGAATCTTCCTGGAATGAAAATTTCACCATCTCAGAATAACTTATGATTAAGGTGACAAGAGTAATAGAATAGGAACAGTCATACCAAGCACGAAAAGTTCAGTAGAATAAGAGTTTACTGAGTACATAAAGGTCTATCACAGCCAAATTTAAAAATTAATTCAGAAATCAGGAATGAAATATCCAGATAAAACTCAGCCTTCTAGGTAACTGGTTGCCAATCCCATATTCTTGAGTACACATACTTTCTACTTTGTTTAAATGCAGTTTGTTAGTGCCTGTGGTTTAGGGTCTAGCCCTAAGAAAAGAGCCATTTTGATTACCCTGTAGGTAGAAGCCACTCTGTGACAGGATCATTTGCACATTTTTCTCAGTGATGGATCACCTTAAATTCATCACTGCCACAGACAATTAACAAAGCAAATATCCTACAGATCTCAGGTCACAACCGTCATCTTTGTACACCAAAGGACAAGCATAAATGAAAACCAATACCCGCCTTTCCTAACTGTCCTAATTTATCTCCTAGTCATCTGTTCTGAAGTACTCATGCTTTGAGGTTTTTTTTTTTAAAGAAAGTGGGAAAAGCCTACTTAAAACAAAATAAATTACCCTTTGATATCCAGCTCAGTAGCTTAGCATTCGAGAAAAGAGAACCTCACAAAGCCATAATATATTCCAGATTTGACAAACTGTGACCTATTTACCAAAGCAGAAAATGCACCACAGACTTCGCCTTGTTTCTTTCTTCCTTTCTTTTTTTATAATTTCAGAAACAGATAAATCATATTTAGCAGACAAAAAGAACTGTTTCTAGGCGGACTAATGAAAATGGGAAGAGGAGAAACAAAAGGAAAAAATTAGGAGCATAGACTCAGAAAGAAATATGTTCCTAAGGTACAAATATGCAGAATTTTAAGTGTTTCCTAGCCATGTCAAAATACAGGAACCATTTTCTGAATAGATGTGAATAATCACAGTAGCTCTCCTCAGGTCTTTAAATACTGTGAACACTTTATAGAAGCTACAAGTCATGCCTATGTTTTCTTCACAAGAAATTTCTAAGATTTGGGGTCAGAATCAGAAATACACTGAATGAAGAATAAGCAACATAAAAATCCACCCACAGTCTGGCTATGCACATTTCATCACTGTGGTAGCACATATTACGTACACTCATTTAATTTCCTCTCTTTTACTACTAAATATAATAATGAGAAAAAACATTGCAGCCTGTTAACATCGAAATGCCTCTTAAAAAAACAAAACAAAACATTATAACAACAGTGTACTTTTCATTTCTAATAAGAGAATAAATCATTTTCTTAGTTTTTACACAAAATAAACTTGAGGCTCTACAGCTCTTTAAATGGAGAGAAAAAAAATCAAACAATGCGTGTGTGTAAAACAATGTCATTGCCTCATTAATATATATATAATTTTATGTTATTATGTATTAACAGCACAAAACAATTTAAATTAAAAAACAAACTATGCAATAGAAAGGTGCTAATGCCTCAATGCATGTTTCAGTGCAGAGTTTTTGTGCCTCCGTGAAAAACAAACCAAAATTTACATTTGCATATAAGGGCAGAACCGTCCCTTTACTCTCTTTTATGATAAGAGCAGCATGTTTCCTAAGCATATTTAAAGTTTCCAAAATCCTTCTAAGGATTTACATGAAAAAAATTCATTTACATAACAAATACCAATAACACGATTGATATAATAAATTTGGGTAATAGAAGATGCATTATAAGCCTTATTGTAGCAAATGCTACTTTAGGAATCCCAGATTGTGACACTTACATCAACAAACTAGAACAGTCACGGCATCATTTTGTTTCTCAACCACTTCTCCCATTTTACAGCGATCCAGACATTAAGCAAAAATAAAATTTGGGGAAAAAAATTGGAGTTTCCTGACAGTCCGAGTATAACATCACTTTAAGAAAAAAAATCAGTAAAGGTTTAATGTTATATTGAGGATTTAAAAAACAGGGAACAGGATGGGATCCTACCACAGAGAGGCTTTGAAAGACTCTGCAGGGTATTAAAGCAGAGGCTGAGACTCATAGCCAAACTTTGGGCAGAGTGCAGATAATCTTATGAAAGAAGGGGGAGATAGAAAGACCTGGAGGGGACAGGAGCTCCACAAGGAGAGCCAAAAAATAAATAATAATATGGGCACAGGGGTCTTTTCTGGAGCTGATACTCCAATCAAGAACCACTCATGGAGATAACCTAGAACCTCTGCACATATGAAGCCCATGTCAGCCCAGTATCCACCTGGGTTCCCTAGTAATGGGAACAGGGACTGTCTCTGAAATGAACTGATTGGCCTGCTCTTTGGTTACTTCCCCTTGAGGGGGAAACAGCCTTACAAGGCCACAGATGAAGACAAATGCAGCCAGTCCTGAAAAGACCTGATAGACTAGGGTCAGATGGAAAGGGAGGAGGACCTCCCTTATCAGTGGACTTGGAGAAGGGGATGGGTGGAGAAGAGGCAGGGTGGGATTGGGAGAGGACGAGGGAGAGGGCTACAGTTGGGATACAAAGTGAATAAACTGTAATTTATTAAAAATAAATTTTTAAAAATCATATAAAAAAGGACTTTCAAATGAAGTTCCCGTGTTCACTGGCAATCACTGTCAACAGCCTGATCATTTCCTTCCACAATGTTACAGATGAAATTAAGAAAAATTGGGGATATCATTTGAGACTCTTGAAAATCACCTCCCATCTAAAGCCACAAGAGCAAAAATGGCCAATAATAGGGCCTATTCGTTTTCATTTATTTCCTTTATTGGGCACACTCATCCTCTCTGGAGCTTTGCAGGGGACCTGGGATGGATTCCAGCTCTCTAGCATGAAGACATGGAGCTCTTGCTAAGGCTTTGAGTGGCTTGCATGGCTCCATTCTGCCCATCCCTCCTCTCTTAGCCTGGCGTTGTTCTCTCAGAAGCCGACTGGCCAGCAGTCGATCTGCAACTGTTATCTAAAATGCCCCTTGTGGTTCTCACTGTCATTAATCTTGGGAACGCTTCCCAATCCTGTAGATCATCTTCAAACAGGTGAAGTGAGAAAGTGCAGGCGTAACAGCCTCAAGTAAATCATCTTATTAATATTCAACAGCTTCATTTCCATTTCTGCAGCCACTGCCCTAGTTCGAGGAAACACTAATTTGTATGTAATAAAATATTACTAATACTGTAGCTTCGTAGATATTGCTTTTGATAAATAAACATTTAGATTACAACACACTCCTAACTTCTCACTCAACAATTCTCCAATTATTAACTATTCTATGTCTAACTGTCACAAAGAGAAATCTACTTATTTTTATCACCATACGTAACTTTCTTGTTTTTGAAATGAATTTATTATGAAACAATCAAAAATACTGTGCCTAAAATTACAATTTTCCCACCAAGCTCCTTTGTTTTCAGTTCTCCTGTGTAGATGATCTTTTCTTACTTCACTGTGTCTTTATATTTTACAAGCATACCTAAATAGTCTTGTGACTACAAAATAAAATAGATTCATAATCTGAAAAGTGCAAGTTTTAAGAATTTCCAAAATCAGCACGTGTTAGTTCCTGGGTAAACACAGCAAAAGCTCATGTCTTGGTGGCCTGGGAAGAAAGGAAGGTGAGAGCGAGGAAAACAAGTGCCTGCACCTCTTTTTTATTTTATTTCCCTGTGTGAACTTTGCCTGATCTATACAGGAGAAGTTTTATGTTTACACAGAATGTGACTCTGCTCAAAGAAACTGGATAGCTGAGTCACTGAGCAAGGGGAAATTAGTTTAATTGTGTGGTTTACTTGCTCAAGCAGGGACTCCCAGGGACCTTAACATCTTGGTTGTGGAATACTTACACGGTATCGGGTCATGTCTTGCCGTAATAATTCATCAGGAAAATGAGAGGATGAAGACAATCTTCAACTGATACTCTCAAAAGGACTGGGGGAGGGGGTGCAGAGCCTTGGCACTGCCTGTTGCATGGTGAGAACCTCAGCATGTACTAGCACACATTTGAGAAATTTTCACTAGTGTCTGCGGAGCTCGCTCAGTTGGTAAAGTGCTTACCATGCAAGCATGAGGACCCTAGTTCAAATCCCCAACATTTACGCCAAGGGCCAGATTTCATGGTGTACACTTGCAACCTCACTCTGGGGAGTTGGAATCCTTGAGGCTTGCTGGCTGCCAGCCTCGCTTAATTGGTGGGCTTTGACTTCAGTGAGAGAGATGCTGTCTCAAAAACAAAAAGGCGGAAAGTGGCCGAGGAAGACAGCTGACACAAGTACACATACATTCACGTGGGAGCACACCACAGACACAGATACACACAGCTGTACAGACATACAGGCACACAGACACAAACACTGACACAGGAAATCTCCACTAAGCAGGTAAAAGCTGAACAACTGTTCCCTCCAGGGCTTTAAATTTCATTTATTTTTTTTCTTCCATGAGACTATTCAAAAGCCAGTACATCAGTGTAGAGGTGCAATTTGGAATTACACCATCTTTGGCCTCAACACTCTGTAACTTTCCACACAGAGTCCCCAGTGTCAAGCAAATCTGCTGAACAGCAATTCCAGGGTGTGAACTCCATGAGACAATGTCAACAACTTTTAAGCTCAGACACTGAGATAAAGTCCAGAGTTAAATGCTTCTTCTTTCCTCCCATCTCCCACTGGGACACCAGTCCCCAGGATCACCAGGCTATCTCCCTCAATGTACACACACCTCAAATAGTCTCTTAATACCCTTGACAAGAAATACCACACTGACATTTCCAAAATCATGTTTTATTAATTTTATTTGTATATTCAAATAACATTTCTACAAATGTATATTCAAATAGCATTTCTACAAAATGAAAAAAATCTTTTATTTAAAGATCTCAACTATTGGATTGCTTTTTATAGCGCCAGGACTTGGTTTATTCCTTTATACACTTTTACTAACTTTAGCCCAGACACCGAATGTTAGGTGGCCCGTAAAAACAGCTCGTGTTTAACTTTTTCCCTTATGAATTTGGGTTTTTACCACCTTGCCATTATTCTCTACTCCAAAAAAGAAAAATGCTTTAGTTCAAGTTAGTTGTATCAGCTGCAAAACACTGTGAATTTCAGTTGATTTTTCTCATCAATGGGTTGTCTTCATTAACATACTGAATTTAGAAATTTCCTTCTAATCCAGTAGTTCAAGCTGCAGGGGATTTTTATCCTCAGTTCACATGGGGACTTCTGGCAGTCTCTGCAGACAGGAGACAGTTTTGGTTGTCACAGTTGAAGAGGTTATATCTCCTCAGGCCTTGGAAGTTATTTTATCCCAAACATGAGCGTGTGCTGTAGTGGGCATAGTTTGTGTTATGTGCATAGTGTGTTTGGTGTGTGTGTGTATAATCATCTATTCCTGAAGGCATACCATCAGAATACTATGATTTCATATATGATTTTATTATCTCCAAAGCCTAGCACAAATCCTGATGTATATACTTAATTTTAAAATATTTTAAAATTTAAATTTAAATAGACTATCTTATTCATAATTTTAAAAAGAATAAACAGTCTAGATAAAATTACTTACCAACAAAGCTGTGTTACAGTCAACATATAAATTCTTTGATGAATCTGACAACTCGGTTACCATTTGAATATTTCAATAATGAAAATCAGTATTGTTCCTGTAAGGAAAAAATATTATGAGTCAATTCATATTTATCATCAATGGGAAGAAAACACATGCTTTTATAATAGATGAAAAGTTGATTTTGGCAGATCTGTTTTTACTGGTTTCTCTCAAGATAAACTTGTTAAGTATTTACTTTATACCAAGCTACAGTTAATTCTGGTCTTCTCTAGTGGGTGTTGGTTAAGTCAGCTCCAATTTGTTTGGATTTTCTAAAAGTGGAATATCTAGCTATTGGGGAAAATAATACATTAAGCTTTCTTGCAAATTCGTTATAAATATTTTAAAATCCCTTGTGCCCAGATTTTTTTTTTGGTTCTGTTGCTCTCCTTGTGGAGCTCCTGTCCCCTTCAGGTCTTTCTATCCCCCTCCCCCTTCTTTCATAAGATTCTCTGCACTCTGCCCAAAGCTTGGCTATGAGTCTTAGGCTCTGCTTTGGATTCCTTGCTGGGTAGAGTTTTTCAAAGGACCTCTGTGGTAGGCTCTTGTCTTGTTCCTTGTTTTCTCCCTATACTCCAACCAAGGACTATGCATGGAGATAACCTAGAACCCCTGCACAGGTGTAGCCAATGGCAGCTCAGTCTCCAAGTGGGTTCCCTAGTAATGGGAACAGGAACTGTCTCTGACATGAACTCAGTGGCTGGCTCTTTGATCACCTCCCACACCTCCAATAGGGAAGCACCCTTACCAGGCCACAGAGGAAAACAATGTAGCCAGTCCTGATGAGACCTCATAAGCTAGGGGTCAGAGGGAAGAGGAGGAGGTCCTCCACTATCAGTGGAGAGGGGAATGGGAGGAGATGAGGGAGGGAGGGTAGGATTGGGAAGGGATGAGGGAGGGGACTACAGTTGGGATACAAAGTGAATAACCTAATTTATTAAAAAATAATTTAATAAAAATATTTTAAAATGATTGCTGTTGGAATGTATAAACTACTTAAAGTTCCTTGTGAAATGAGCTGATGAATTTTGCCTATTAATGAAATATCTAATTTTACATAATACCCAATAGTTTCTCATGTATGGAAAAAATGAAGGTCTCTTGAAGTCCCTTGTTCTAGAAGACAGAATTCAAATTATTTTCTTTGCCATTCAATATACTTTCAAATTAGACCTTCCTTGTGTTTTTAGATAAATATTTCACATCTGGTCCTCATTGATTGGTTTATTTTTTTCATACTCTCTTGAAATAAAGTCCATCTCATTTTCTCCACGTCATATTGTGTCTCTATACCCCACTCATTCATAGAGCAAACTTTGTCTTCTGCCTGTAGTTTGAAATTACACAGTGAGATCTTCCTTTTGATTTTTTTCTTAACTTCCGCTTAAATTACTAATTATCTTAACCTGTCTATCTTGTCTGCTGCATTCCTTCTAAAGCTCATCTCTTAGTTCACTCCTCCACCTAAAACACTAACTTACCTCTTAACTAACTTATATGACCATCATTTTTCCTTACCTCTGTGCATTTTAAGCTTTATTTTCCCTCCAGATTCTACAGTCCTGGAGGTGGAGACCTGGTTTACAGACATCTGTGATTTGCACTTATTCTCCAGGACAATGCTCTGTACTCGGTAGTTATGACCCAGCTGAAGGTTCAAAGATTCGTAGTTTTACCTTAAGAGCAGAAAACAGTACAACAGCCTAGTTACAGGACATGAAATAATATCACCCAACAAATGAGTAAAGAAAAGCAAATAAGCATGCTAGTAATCACCAAGTAACATGACCGCGATATAGCATACACATGCTAGCAAGAAATAAAATTCAAACCTTGTTTAAATCTGGATTGAATAAATTATAGAGGGTAAAATTTGATGTAACTGGAAAAACATTCATACAAGTGAGTAAAAGAAAACATTGAACACCTATGGTATAAGGAAGGGGTATATATTGTATCAAAAGCGGCCCTTATCAGAGGCAAATACATAATTATTTTTTAAAGAGCAGACTGATCTTTTGTTTAAATTTTCCGATAAAAACTAGGAGGGCATACAGCGCTCGGTAACATTTGGCAAAACGTTGGTCATTACTGGCACAGTGCGGACAAACTGTTTTTCCTTGCACTGTCGTCAACACAGATCTAAATAGTTAACAAGCTGTGATTACTTCAGTGAATTTCCTGTTGGTCTTTTTACTTCCAATTTTTTTTTCTTTCTCCAACATTCAGGATGGGAAGCTTCCAGCTTAGACTTCCTGAGACTGAGCAGCCACCGTGCTACCCTGCACTCAAAAGTGTCCACTGCTTCCTTACTGCCTACTTAGTAAAATCCAGTGTTATTCTCTCTGCTTCCCAGAAACCAGATGCCTGTAATGTCTGTCTTTCTTTATCTTAAACTTCTATTATTATTATTATTATTATTATTATTATTATTATTATTTATAATTTATTCACTTTGTATCCTAGCTGTAGCCTTCTTCCTTATCTCCTCCCCAGTCCCATCCTCCCTATCTCTTCCCTCCTCCATGTCCCACCACTAGTCCACTGAGAGGGGAGGTCCTCCTCCTCCATTACTATCTGATCCTAGCCTATCAGGTCTCATCAGGACTGCCTGGATCCTTTTTCTCTTTGGCCTATTAAGGCTACCTCACCAGGTGGAAGTGATCAAAGAACAGGCAAAGAAGTTCATGCCAGAAACTGCCCCTGCTCCCCTTACTAAGGAACCCACCTGAGCTGCCCCTCCATGCAAGGTCCTTGGTTAACTAAGCAGTCTCTGCTGGATCCCTTGAGCCCAGAGAAAAAATGAGGAAATCATGAAATTTGTAGACAAATGGATGGAACTAGAAAAGATCATCCTGAGTGAGGTAACCCAGAAACAGAAAGACACACATGGTATATACTCACTTATAAGTGGACATATAATATAGGATAAACATACTAAAATCTATAGTCATAAAGAAGATAAACAGCAAGGAGCACCCTAGGGAAGATGCTTAATCTTCATTCAGAAGGGCAAACAGGATAGACATTGGAAGTAGGAGAAGACAGGGAACAGGACAGGAACCTTTCACAGAGGACTTCTGAAAGACTTTTCACAGCAGGGAATTGAAGCAGACGCTGAGACTCATAGCCAAACTTTGGGCAGAGTGCATGGGATCTTAAGGAAGAAGGGGTAGATAGAATAGATAGAAAGACCTGAAGGGGACAGGAACTGCACAAGGAGAGCAACAGAGCAAAAAAAAAAAAAAAAAAAAAAAAAAAAAAAGTCTAAGTCTTAATTGATACTTCCATTAAGCACCAAGTCAACTAAAACAGCTGTGTTTTCCTGAACTACTACAATTGCCAGGGTCTCTCTTCTTTGCTTTATGGCGTTCTTAAATTTTCTACGTATGATACTCTTCCATTCTGCCTCTCATCTCCCTGAGCATGGAGCCTTCCCTTGCCTGTCAGAATGTGACCCTTTCTCTGTAAGGTGCTAGCACACCTCTGTGCACGTTCCTTCAATATGGTTCTGCCTTGTATTACAACGCAGTTCAACCATCACCACTGGCGTTCAACACAATTCTCTGAGAAAAGGATTTATCTCTAATCTCTGACAAAGATCTGTGCATAAGATATAGTTAACAAATACTGGTTAGCAGGTAAAGGGAAGAGTACAAATAGTTGTAAGCAAAAATAGTTTAGATCAAGAAAAAGCAGTGTCCTCATAAATGTAAAAAAACACATGATTTTAAAAATTTAGTAGTGAAATGATTGTTATTGGGGAGTACCACGCATTAGAACAAGTACAGTATTTTCACTGCCACATTTAATCATTTTAACACTGTAATTTTACAGATGAGGAAACTGAGACTTGGGTCATGTTAGGTAATTTCCATGTACATAGCTCATCTGAGTTCAAATCCAAGTCAATATTAATAACTTCCTTTATTTTTTTACTGTGTCAGAGAGGCCCACGTTCTGAAGACATAAGCAAAGAGTTATTCAGAAGATTGAACAGGATGTAAACAGATGGCATTGCCCTCCTTTCCCTGCTTCAGTAACTAGCTTCTCTTCAGTTGGTTTTATACAGTGATTTAAAGGTTCTTTCTTTCTTCTGTTTTGGTCGTGAATAGATGTAATATCCACTTTTTTATTTGCCATTATTTATCATTGTCTTTTACACAAGGACTCCATGTTTTCAAATTGAAAATGAATGCATGTGGAGCTCCTATCCTTTCCTCATCAGACTAACTCCCCTTCTTTCTTATGATTCCCTGTACTCTGCCAAAGGTTTGGTCATGAGTCTTTCTGAGACTGACATGCAACCAAGGACCATGTATGAATGTAACCTAGAACCTCTGCTCAGATGTAGCCTGTGGTAGCTCAGTAACCAATTGGTTTCCCATAGTGAGGGGAACAAGGACTATTTCTGACATGAACTCAATGACTGGTTCTTTGGCCTCCCCACCCCCCAAGGGAGGAGCAGTCCTGTTAGGCCACAGAGGAGAGCTTTGCAGCCAGTCCTGAAGATACCTGATAAAACAGGATCAGATGAATGGCGAGGAGGTCCCCTCTATCAGTGGACTTGGCAAGGGGCACGGTGGAGATGAGGGAGGGAGGGAGGGAGGGACTGGGAGGGAATGAGGGATCGGGACACAGCTGGGATACAGAGTTAATAAAATGTAACTGATAAGAAAAAAATAAAATAAAAAAAAAGAAAGAAAATGAATGCATGATGCTACCCTTCACTGACCTGATCAAGAGAGGGTTTAATCTGGAAATCAGAAAGTGTAAGCGCTGCCCTAATATTGGTATGTACCCAGGGCCTGGTATCCAACATGTGGCACGCACACACTTCTGTAACTGCTCTCAAAACTAAGTTCAAATTTCATGAGGAAACTAATGTCATTAGTTGGCAGTTTCATATCCCACTTGCTTTAAATGGTTTTGTTTCTTTCCAGAAAAAAAAAAATAATTCTCCCTGGAAAGATTAGATAATTGAAAGAACACTTAAAATGTAGTTCCTCCAGGCCAACTCCAAATTGCGTTCTAAAAGCCTGTCTGGGAAATGCGGGTCTCCCGAAGGCATCCATTAAGAGGAGCTGCTTTGAATATGTAAATCACTTCATAACTGTGTGCGTACACCTGTGTACCTTCTCCCATGCATCTACATATACGCACACGCGTATGCATATGTTGACATATATCTACATTTGCACAGTTTATATGCTAAATATAAAAAAGTCTACTAAATAGTAAACATGCCAAACATTTGGAAAAAAAAAAGAGAAATAATCTCTTGGGATGAGTGACAGCAACGTCTGTGAGAGGGGTCTATGGGGAATTGGTGTAGACAGGTGAATGTCCTAAGAACATTCCAGACACATGTTTGCTGGACTGCTAGATCATACACGCTGCTCTGGACAGAAGGGGGCACTTACGGAGCCGGATGACCTGTTAAAGACTCAGAACCATCGTCAGGGCAAAATACTGCATTACATTTCCATCATCTAATATAATGGATAACCCTTGCTTAGTCTATTCAGGGACTAGAATGAGAGTCTTCTGCAGAAGCTCTGCGCTATCTCCGCAGCCTCCGCTTTCTGCACAGCCTCTGGTGGCTGACACCCCACTCCCCAGTTTAGACAGGTCCATGATCACCAGGGCGGCAGTTGGGGGGCTCCCGTTGGGGGGCTCCCGTTGGGGGGCTCCCGTTGGGGGGCTCCCGTCATCTCACTCTTTTTTCTCCCAACAAACTCACATAGTTTTGTGTCTCATTAATTCCCAGTGTTTTTACTCAGTTTTTCTCTCACAAATTGTGTAACTGTGGCACATTTTACAATCCCACTCGGTGTTGCTCCCTCACGTCTGAAGTAGAGATAACCTAATGCCTCTTAATAGCTATTTAAAAAAAAATCAGTAATGTACGACATGTTTAGAAAGATGTGTGGGCTATCACCTGTCTGGTCTTGGACAATTCCAGCAGCTCAGTGGGAAACATTGATATTTTTGTAGTTATAATCTTTCCCACAGGGGTTACAGAAATGTTACATAAATGGGCACCTGATGGAGTAAACATCCTTCCCCAGCCATGAACACGACATAAGCTCGAAGATGACCAGGTATTTCTAAATAGACTGAGTACAGAGGAGAAGGCGGATGGTCGTGGAGGAGAAGAGGAAGGGAGAGAAGGACAGTGTCTGGTAATTGTGGGACACACAATGTTACTGGTTGTCCTTGTTTTTATTTTTTGAACCAGGGCCTAGGTATGTAACTCAGGTTGGCCTTGGTCTCATAATTCTCTGGTATCAGCCTCCTCGGTGCTACAAAAAAAGCTATGGATCAGCATGCGGGACTAATTTGTCAGCTATAAATACCACTATTCACTTTTTAACTTGTAACAGGATGAAAATACATTTTTTTGACCTGCCTTTTGTATGTGTTCCAAAATGCCCCTGATGTTCCCTGGCCTCCATAGCATCATATTCATCTGCCAGAACACACTTCACCCCTGCAGCAATGAGGAAGGTTTATTTCATTTTTAGCTTTTATTTTTGGCACCTCTGAGTCTATTTTTATTATTAGGAGAGAAGTGCTAGAATATGCACACATATGATGGGTATTTATATATGCATTTATTACCTTCACTTTTAAGCTTCTAAAGATGAAATTAGATTGTTGAGAGATAGTTATG